CAAGGCATTTGGTTTCCGCAGAATGGGAAAAAGAGGACCAAAGATGCAGCATTCTTAGCTGAACTGCACCAAGCTTTGGCCGTGATGGAGGGTTTGATCAAGTCCTGTGAGCTGGCCGTGAACCTGGCAGCAGTCACTGGATATCCGGTATGTTAATTCCGTAACAAGTGTTGGCATGTTTCACATGAAAAGCAGGCACAATATTACAAGGTAGGAGATGCTGTGGCAGAGTTAGAAAAATGATTTATGGTAAAGGAATCTGACTCTGGGAAAAGTAGCCTGAATAGGTCAACAGGACTGTGCCATGAAATTCCAAGCAGTCCCTCAGCGTTTTTAGGAATCTTGGGTTGTATTCCTCACGGTCCTGATTGTTGAGACTGACCCATGCTCTCCAAAACCCAGAACTCAGGGCCCAGAATATATATGGGCAGGAGAAATTGCTAAAAGAGTGATTAATTTTCTGACTCATGGCACTATTAAAAGATTTTCCTTCTTAACTCAGATTTTCTCCATGAAAATTACTTTGAAAATGGGTCCTAAGTGGAAGCCTAACTCCATTTTACACCACAATTCCCAGAAGAGGCCCATATATTGTACATTCCTTCATCCAAATGGTGGGAAGAAAATACCAAGACAGGCAATGCTGGGGAGTTGAGCCATCTCAGCTCTAGCATTAGGGTTAATCCTGAACAGGCCAGTCCCAGGCAACCCNAGTGTCACTGGCCCTCATATGTGGGATCCGAACCGGGGCCCTCTGGCGTCCCAAGCCAGTTCTTAACCATCGCGCCACTCAGCCGGCCCTCTTCTGTTAGTTTTTATCACTCACTGAAGAACTATTTTAGAAAGAAGAAAAATAGCTATTTTGGGGAGATCCTGGTGTCCTGAGTAACGAGCAGAGGAGGAATGATAAAGATAAAACCCAACTCCTGTTCATGAATTTACTTTATTTACCAGAGTCCTGAAGCTGTTCTTATAGCACTTTGTTCATATCTGTGCTTAGTGTTTGTGGGTATTCATCACCGTCTTTTTGCCTCCCCATCACACATTCACCCCAACATAAAATTGTTTATCACACATCCTCAGTTAGTTCCTCACACAATGAATGTCTCAGGTTTGTTGAATGAATGAACTTGTATTATCCTGTCTACTTATGAACATTTCTACCTGATTAATTTGTTCTAATTTTTCCCACTCAGAAAGAAGATCTTCAAATATATTTTAAATACCATCAGAATCTGCCCCGAGCTACAGCAATCTGGCACGAATGTCAAGACTGTGCCTACTTTGGGGTAATGTTGAGATTACAAGGTCTCCCACAAATCGTTTTCCCTGGACAATGTTTATGCTCATCGAAGTTTTAAAGATATCAAAATTATGAATTAAGCAGAGGAATTTAGCACTAGGATTTACGTTCATTTAAAGTCTCTCCTATTTTGAAATCACACACTGAACATTTCAATGCTGCCCTGGGTCTCTACGGGACAGGGCTATGAGGGGCAGCTGTAGCCTAGCGAGAAAGCCAGAGTTCTCTTCTAGGATGGGTTTTAAAATGCAATTAAATCACGGAAAGGTTACACTTTGGGGCTCCCTGGAATGATATCAATAAGTCATCATGTACCCTCCAGACTCAAAATGACCTGAGTACATCCCACCACACCCCAACTTGAAAACAGGCTACCTCCTTTTCAGAAGGATTTGAAATGCCCCACTGTCTTCGAGTAGCCTTGCTTTCTAAAAGAAATAAATGGTTCTGCTTCCCTCGTTGCCTGTCAAAATACTAGCTAAGTTGTTCCCTTTCCCCTTTCTCTCATTTCACACACTGTTCCCGAGGGACCAGACAACTCAGTAACATCACAAAACTGGTCAACACAGCTGTCCCTCTTGTCCAGGAAGACTCTGTTTTCTTTCTTGTGTTTAAATGCGGCCACTTTCGTTCTCTGTGTGTGTTGTTTGTTTTGTTTTACGTTGTTTCTGTTTGGTTTTCAAAGGTATGCCAGCGCCAATCGGATCACAATCTCCCTCTTTTTAAGTATCTTAGAGGACCAAGCCAGAGACTTATAAAATACCAGACGCTGTTGAAGGTAAAGTCAATAAGATGGTGCTTTTTTTGTGTTGGGAAAACAGATGCCTGCGCTATGCTGCTTTTTTTCCTTAGACATGTAGATTTGTGACTTTGTCTTCCAAATGTGAAGATGTCTATCCTCTGAGCGTTTTTTCTGCCCTCTGAGTCTAAAGCAGCCCTCCTCAGTGAGGAGTAAGACCCAAGTAAGAGTTAAAAGAGACCTGAGAGCTTGGCTAGTCCAACATGCAGCCAGGGCATGAATCTCTAAGGAGCCCGGTTAGGGGAGGAGAGGGCACTGGGAGCCAAGTGGGGAAGGGATGCAGCTACACTGCCGGCAGCTGGGCGGGTGGCAGGCAGCCAGGCCTCTGTTCTCATGTAAGATACCTCCAGGTAAGATGCCATCTGTTCCATTCTACAAATGAGGCAAGGAGCTTCAGGGAAGAGATGTGATTTCCCCCAAATTCACTGTTTTATGTTTGTTAAGACAATGGAAGGGAGAAGGCACGCCGAGGGTCTTCTCTGCTTTTGCTACGTCTGCCTCCACTAGATTTAGGACCTGAAGAGCAGCATAACAGAACGAACTGTGCTCTGCTGGACCCCGAGGTGGTTTTCTCTCTCTCTGACACCAGCGTGTGGACAGGAGAGCACTCCCACACCCCCCAAACAGGACAGGATATGCTGTCAAAGCTGTTTCCCCACGTGTGAGCTGAGGGAAAGGTTTGAGCCACTCCTCCAAGTTGTGTTTGAGTTAACCTTTATAAGCAGCTCTTTACCCAGTGGCTATCTCTTAAAAAAAAAAAAAAGAAAAGAAAAGAAAAATGAGCTGCTGCTGTTTACTGGGTGCCTTCCCATGTGTATTTCTTATTTAATCCCCACAATCAATCAGATGTGTCAGAAAGGCTCTAGAGTGTGAAGAAACTGAGGCTTGGGGAAGTTAAACTCATGGCCCAACACTCTGCCCTCAGAAAATGTTACCCCTTTCAGCTTTGCATCAGCAGCCTCAGCCGAGGCTGGACCGGCTCTGCCACTACCAGCTGTGGGATTACTGGACCTCTTAGGCCTTGGTTATCTTGTATGTAAAATGAGAATACCGGAACCTCCTCCTTAGGCTTGCTGCGGGGAGCAGTGAGTGATGCATGGAGAGAGCTCCCTCATTGCTGATCCCCAGGAAGCTCCCATGACCTGTAACCTTTGTTTTATATGAGTACAGGAAGATGTCACATTAGTGTCTGAATGAGGTTGATGATTCATTGGTTCTCACCATGAGTGGAATCTGTGAGCATGTTTTGATACACTGTTCACTTGGGGCCTCATATTCCTCTGACTGTCCCATCCTTACTATCATGAAGTCCTCCCACCGGGCCAGTTGAGGCGGGGGCCGGACCTAAGGCGGGGTCTTCACTCACTAGGCCTAGCTGCATCAGGGAGTGAAGGGCTCAGGTTTTCCCCCTGAAGTGATGTTGACACAATAGCTAAGTTCTGTACCATACTCATATGCAGAGGGCTGTAGGGCATAGTGATTAGACTTCCTGGGTGTGGATCTGGGCTCTGACAGCTGTGAGAAATCGGGCAAGTTATGGAACCTCTCTCTGCGTCAGGTTCCTCACCTGTAAAATGAAGGTAGTAATAATACTTTCCCGGCATGCTTTTTGGGAGCACTAAATGAGGTAATGCATGTTAAAAATACTTAGAAGATTTTGTTAGCTTTATTTCACTGAGGAAACAATAGACAGAATCACTATAAAATGTTCCTTGGGGGTCTGTGCTGCTCAGGGCGGAACAGTTTTTCCCATAGTGAAGCTTGTTTGGTGCCCGGAAAAACAAGTTCAAACCAGTGGCACACCTGAGAGGAGACGAAGAACTCTGGCGTTCTCCACCCTGAGGAACAAAGCCCATTCTGCAGTGCCTACCATCGGCTTCTTTGAGAGAGCATGGATGCTGGACCCATTGCCTCCCAGCTTAGAGAGGGTCATAGAATCCTGATGTGGGAGAGCTTTTCTAAGTATAAAAGAAAGGGGAAGGAATGATAGATTATACCATTGAAAATAAACTCATCAAAAATTAGGGGAAATGTTATATTAGCAAGATGTGTAACAAATGTTTAGTGTGCTTAATGATGAGCTCATAGAAATTAATAATAAAAAACAAAAAATGATATCTATGAGATGCTTAATATCTTATGTGAGATATTATAAAAATTAATAATCATGACCAAGAGTTTTTTGAGTACCTAATGTCTGATGAGTCACGGCAAGTTAATTAGACAATATCACTATCTATTATCATCAGCATACATTAGAAATACATGCATTTAGGGACAACAGGAACTCACTTTCATGGAGCTCATGATTTCTGTCAAATAGGCTAAGTGATGGATGGAACTATTGAATTTAATGTAGAGAATTTTTCTTGCCTGGATTTTGCTTAATTAAGGTATGGTTTGAAAAATGGTGCATTATTTATTTACTGTAAGTTTTGCTTATTGCAAGGATATTCTAGAATAAGTGTTCATGCTGATTTCCTGTGTAAGAGCATTTCCATGTCATAAGAGCAACGTTCATTTTTCTTCTTTTAAAAAAATTAAATAGGTTACTATTTAAAAAAATAATTAATAGAGAGAGGTTGGTAAATGGTACTAACTTTCAGCAATAAGATGAATAAGGTCTGAGAATCTGATGTAATGCATAGTGACTACAGTTGATAAAACTGTATTGTATAATTGAAGTTTGCTAAGAGAGTAGAACTTAAGTGTCCTCACCAGAAAAAACAAACAAACAAACAAACAAAAATAAAAACAGAAGAAAGAAAACAGAGAGAGAGAGGAATATGTGAGGTGATTGCCGTGTTCACAAGTTGGGGGAATCCTTTCACAATGTAAGTGTATCAGATATTCACAATGTACAGTTTAAATATCTAACAATTGTATACGTCAGGTATACCTCCATAAAGCTGATATTTTAAAAAGAAATTTAAAAATGAAGAAGGGACGTAGACAATTTACAAAAAATAAATAAATGCTATTATAATAGCAAACACTTTTTTGAAAGTTCTGCCTCACTATTTTTCTGAGAAATTCAAATTGAAACAACAGTAAGGTAGGATTTCTGATGATTCAATTGGCCAAACCATTTAATTAAGTGGTAATACTCCATGTAGTCTAGGAGCTGATGAAACAAGGTTTCCTAAGTTGGGGGGGTGGGGGTGGGGGCAGGAACATAGGCCTTCTGTAAAGAACTTGGAAATATGCATCAAATCTCCTAACACTGACAGTTTCACTTCTAGGAATGTATCTTTAGGAAAAATTGTTGAACCTAAATATTTAACAGTGTGGGAAGTTAGTCAATTATGATTTCTCTACAGAATGCAACACTGCCACAATCAAAACCATGTTTTTTAATAAAAATATAATATCATGAGAAAATAAACATTCATGATATGTTGCTGAGTGAAAAAAAGCAGGCTGCAAATTAGTATGTCCAATATGATTCTATGTTTGTGGAAAGAACTCATTCATTCATGTGCCGTTCATTCATTCTTGGGTCAGAAGGTTAGCAGTCATTTGCATGTCCTCTCTGCTCAGACATGCGGTGGGGATCCCTCTTACTCATGACAACTTTACATACATTCTCAGTGACTTTGTCTGGAGGTTGTTTGTACAGTAGATTCAGTTGGCATTCTACTTTTTGATTTTCAATAAGGCTTTTGGGTTAATGCAGGATCTACTGGATTTGGAGTCTCCTGAGGATTTGAAGATAGACCCAGATGACCTAGAAGGAGGTTCGGTTAAGGTACTGGATGTTAAATATTGTTTGTTTGTTTGTTTTTTAACAATACCGAGATCTTTTATTTTTACATTTATGCCATGAATTCACAGGGAATGGGTTCCAGCAGCTCAGGCTCCTTTCCATTGGTTCTCACACAGTGTGCTTCTCTGGGTGGGGCAGGCTGGCGCTTCAGTTGAACCCAAGTACCTTTCTCTTTGGCTTCCTTCTTTTTCTGATCATTTTCCTTCACCCGTTTCAGGAAGCTGTCTCGGCTCTTAGAGTGCTTAATATATTCAATACGAACATTAATTCTCTGGGCAAGATTCTTGCCCTTAACTTGTTTGTTTACGACAATGCCAAC